CTTGAAGTCCTAGCTAGAGCAGTAAGATGACAAAAGGAGATCTAGGGGACACAAATTGGAAAGGAAGAAGTCAAACTTTCACTATTTGCAGATGATATGACAGTATACATAAGTGACCCCAAAAATTCTACACTGGATAAAAACCTTCAGTAATGTGGCAGGATACAAAATTAACTAAAAAAAAAAAAATCAGTCGCCCTCCTATACACAAATGATAAATGGGCTGAGAAAGAAATCAGAGAAACATCACCCTTTACAATAGCCACAATTAGTATAAAATACCTTGGGATAACTCTAACTAAGCAAGTGAAAGACCTGTATGATAAGAACTTTAAGTCTCTGAAGAAAGAAATTGAAGAAGATATCAGAAAATATGAAGATCTCCCATGGATAGGTAGGATTAACATAATAAAAATGGCAATCTTACCAAAAGCAATCTACAGATTCAATGAAATACCCATCAAAATCCCAACACAATTCTTCACAGACTAGGAAAGAACACTACTCAGCTTCATTTGGAGAAACAGAAAACCCAGCATAGCTAAAAGAATCCTGTAGAACAAAGCCACCTCTGGAGGCATCACCATCCCTGACTTCAAGCTCTATTATAGAGCTATAGTAATAAAAACAGCTTGGTACTGGCATAAAAACTGGCATGTGGACCAATGGAATTGAATTGAAGACCCTGACATTAACCCACACACCTATGAACACCTGATTTTTGACAAAGAAGCCAAAACTGTACCATGGAAAAGAGAAAGAATCTTCAACAAATGGTGCTGGCATAACTGGATGTCAACATGTAGAAGATTGCAAATGATCCATATCTATTGCCATGCACAAAACTCAAGTTCAAGTGGATCAAAGACCTCAACATAAATCTAGTTACTCTGAACCTGATAGAAGAGAAAGTAGGAAATAGTCTTGGATGCATTGGCACAGGAGACCACTTCCTAAATATAACACCAGTAGCACAGACACTGAGAGCAACAGTTAATAAATGGGACCTCCTGAAACTGAGAAGCTTCTATAAGGCAAAGGACACAGTCAATAAGACAAAATGACAGCCTACAGAATGGGAAAAGATTCTCAACAATCCCACATCTGACAGAAGGCTAATCTCCAAAATATATAAAGAATTCAAGAAACTAGACATCAAAATAATGAACAATCCAATTAAAAAATGTGCTATAGAGCTAAACAGAAAATTCTCAAAGGAAGAATTTCAAATGGCCACAAGACATTTAAGGAATTGCTCAGCATCCTTAGTCATCAGGGAGATGCAAACCAAAATGATTCTGAGATACCATCTTATACCTGTCAGAAGGGTTAAGATAAAAAACACTGCAGACAGCTTATGTTGGAGAGGATGTGGAGCCAAGGAAACACTCCTCCACTGCTGGTGGGAGTGCAAACTTGTACAGCCACTTTGGAAGTCAGTGTGGTGGTTTCTCAGAAAATGGGGAATCAATCTTCCTCAAGACCCAGCTATACAACTCTTGGGCATATACCCAAGGAATGCTCAATCATACCACAAGGACACATGTTCAACTATGTTCATAGCAGCATTATTCATAATAGCCGGAACCTGGAAAACACCTAGATGCCCCTCAATTGAAGAACGGATTAAGAAAATGTGGCACATATACACAATGGAGTACTACTCAGCAGAGAAAAACAATGACATCATGAAATTTGCAGGCAAATGAATGGAACTATAAAATATCATCCTGAGTGAGGTAACCCAGACTCAGAAGAATGAACATGGTATGTACCCACTCTTAAGTGGATACTAGACATAAAGCAAAGGATAACTAGACAACAACCCACAAATTCAGAGAAGCTAGTTAACAAGGAAGACCCAAAGAGGATGCATGGGTTTCCCTGGGAAGGGGAAATAGATGAGATCTCCATGAGTAAACTGGGGATGAGGGGTGGTTAATGGAGGGTAGGAGACAGGGGATGAGAACATAAGGGAAGTGAATGGGTGAGCTGGAACAGTGATGGAGTGGGAAAGCAATGAATGAGATACCATGAAAGAGAGAGATATCATGGGGTAGAGAGAAACCTGGTGCTAGGGAAGTTGCCAGAAATCCCCAAGAATGACCCCAGCTTGGACTACTAGAAATAGTGGAGAGGGTGCCTGAACTGAACTGGCTTACCCCAGTGATGAGACTAGTGAACCCTAACTGTCATCACAGAACTTTTCTCCAATGACTGATGGAAGCAGATGCAGAGATCCACAGCCAAACACCAGGCAGAGCCCCAGAAGTTCAGTCAAAGAGAGAGAAGAGGGATTCTATGAGCAAGTGTGTCAGGATCATGATGGGGGAACCTGCAGAGAGACCAAACCAAACTAGTGGGAACTCATGAAAGTTGGATCAATGGCTGTGGAGCCTGCATGGGACTGGACTAGGCCCTCTGCATGGTGAGATAGTTGTGTAGCTTGATCTACTTGGGGGGCTCCCTGGCTGTAGGATCAGAATCCATCCCTGGTGCATGATCAGGCTTTTGGAGCCCACTACCTTTGATGGGACACCTCATGCAGCCTTGAGGCAGAGGGAAGGGCTTGGACTTGCCTCTACTGGATGTGCCTCCCCATGGGAGGCCTTGCCTTCTTATGGGGGGAGTTGGGGAGTTGGAAGGGGGAGGCTCGGGGGGGGGGGTGGGAGGAGGGAAGAGGGGAATCTTTGATTGACGTGTAAAATGAATGAAAAAATTTTCTTAATAAAAAATAAAAAATTAGCCGGGCGGTGGTGGCGCACGCCTTTAATCCCAGCACTCGGGAGGCAGAGGCAGGCGGATCTCTGTGAGTTCAAGGCCAGCCTGGTCTACAGCGCGAGATCCAGGAAAGGCGCAAAGCTACACAGAGAAACCCTGTCTCGAAAAACCAAAAAAAAAAAAAAATAAAAAAATAAAAAATTAAAGCAGCAATATGTTAATTTTTATATAACGTCAAAATTTTTTTGTTTTTTTTGTTTTTTGTTTTTTTTTGACACAGGGTTTCTCTAAGTAGCCCTGGCTATCCTGGAGCTTGCTACATAGACCAGGTTTGTCTTGAACTCACAGAGATCTGTCTGCCTCTGCTTCCTGAGTGCTGGGATTAAAGATGTGCACTACCATGCCCAAGTCACAAATGAACATTTTTTTAATGTAACAAATTAGCAAACATTTTGAAAATTGATCATTAATATTATAGGTACCAAGAACATAGGCATATTTAAAACAATTTAATTTGAATCAATTTATTTTCACAATGTCCTTATTAAATACACATCATTATCCCATTTCCACATGAGAAAACTGAGATAGCATGCCTCTTTAGGTATTTATGATGGGACAAAATATTGACATTATCTTTTCACTGAGATTTGAAGATATGTTTAAGAGCTTTGAAAACATTTTCCCAGGACTAGAGAAATAGCTCAGTAGTTAAGAGCGCTGACTGTTCTTCCAGAGGACCTGGGTTCAATTCCCAGCACCCCCATGGCAACTTCAACTATCTGACACTCCAGTTCCAGGGGACCAAAACCCTCCTGCAGACAAACCATCAATACACATAAATTAAAAAAAAAGAAACATTTTCCCTATGTGGTTCTGTATTTCTGCTTCTAGGAGCTTATTTTATGACAAAATTAGAAAGTCACACAAAAGTGATTCATAAGATGGCCTGATGACTCATAGCATTCTATGTAATGTGAAAATGGGAAACATTTAAACTCTTCAACAAGAGGGAAATTACTAAATAGTGATAGCTTGCCCTTATGAGGGGACATAAACACCCATTAAAATCATAGTTTTAAGATTAATTTAAAGCAAAGGGAATCTAGTCACTGTAGAATACATTTACAAAGTCTTAAAACCCATGAGTGAATGACTCCACTATTGTCAAATGCTCACATAAATCGACTGGCTGTCACTCTAAGACATTCGTCGGCCATGAGCACTGTTTTGCCTCACGTTAAACATGCGTACAACCATCATTGTCATTTTCTGAGGACATAGTTTCTACTCAACTTTTTTGTTGTTTGCTTTTTTCTTTTCTTTCTTTCTTCCTGTTTTTTTTTTTTTTTTCTGAGACAGAGTTTCTCTGGGTATCTCTGGCCATCCTGGAGCTTGATCTGTAGACCAGGCTGGTCTTGAACTCAGAGATCTGCCTGCCTCTGTCCCCCACAACCTCCTCCAGAGCTGAGACTAAAGGTGTGTGCCATCACTGCCCAGCATGCCCAGTATCCCATTCTTGGCGTGTGTGTGTGTGTGTGTGTGTGTGTGTGTGTGTGTGTGTGTGTGTGTGCGCACATTGGTGTTTTGCCTGCATGTATGTCTGTGTGAGGGTATTGGATCCTGGAGTTACAGACAGTTGTGAGCTGCCATGTGGGTGCTGGAATTGAACCCCAGTCCTCTGGAAAGAGCAGTCAGTGCTCTAAACCACGGAGCCATCTCTCCAGCCCCTTACTCGATGTTTTTAAGTTAAGGAAACATAGTATTTAGTATTAAGTTAAGGAACTGACTGGATCTTTTCTTGCCCATCCCTGCTCCTGGTGGAGGCTGGCCCAGGGCATATTGTTCCTCTTTAGATGGTCTGGCTTGTCCTTGTCTTAAGATGACGGCACAGGGACAGGGGCTACCTTGTTGTAGCAGTGGAACAAAGTGTGTGTTTGCTCATCTTGAGTTCAGTTTGTTAGCGAGAAAGGGTGGGTAAGATCCAGATTTATGTGGTCCTGGGATTATGCCTGTGGTGACTGCCACCTCTCAAGGTGGCTTGGCTCTAAGAACAAATGAAACTGAGGACCAGAGCAGAGGGTGACAGGCCTATCACAATCCGACACAACTGGATCTGGTATCAGGTTTCGATTCTCACTCTGAATGAGACAAGACCCAAGACAAGAGGAAGGAACTCAGTGATCTTTTCTGGGCAAAGCACTACTGCTTGTCTAGGGAGATTGGACAAGATGCTGGCTCATGGCATTTGAAGGATGAGGTACATGTTCTCTGGAAATAAAGGCACAAGAACATTTTATCCATGGCTGGCAGTCCATGTAAAGTGCTGGTTTAGATAGAGGTGTTCATCTGTGAGCATTTAGATATAATGAAGGTGTCATGGACAGAAAATTCTTATTTTGATGTCTTGAAGCTCTGGTCTTCAGTCCCAGTTTCTGCTTTTACCAATGGGGTAGACTTGCACCTGTCATCTCTGTCTCCAAAGGTATGTTTCCTTTTTGTTACGATTCACGGTCTAATACTTAGCTTAATTTTTTTCTCTTTCTTGGGTTGCTAATAAAACAGCAACCCATTGTGTAGTGATTCCTATATATAAAGAACTATTTTAAACACTTTATAAGAACTGATTAAATTGCCACAGTGACCTTTGTAGGAACATCATTTCTATTATTATCCCCATTTATAGATGAGGAAACTGAGGCACAGTCACATTAATTGTCTATGAGCAAACCTGTAGGGAATAGCAGTGCTTGGAATTGAATTCAACCCAGGTAGTCTGGTTCAGAATGATATTTAAGTCACGACATCGTTGCTTGAATCAAATTAAATACATAATGTGGATGATCTAGTATTTTAAGTGAGGGTGATATTGCCCTGAAGGGTGGGCAAATTGGAGACTAGGAGGAAAAAGAGACTTTAGATTTATGGACAAAGTGCAGATGTTCACACGGTGCAAAAGCAGACATATAGTCAATCTCTTGTTCTTAAACTTGATGAGGGAGTGGAGTGACTGGAAAAAAATGTCTAAAATGGCTCCCTGTGAGGGCAATAATGAAAAAGAAATGAACAGGTTGAGTAACATTAACGTAGAGCAAAGGGAGGCACACAGCAGGTGTCTTATGAATTCTTCCCTCTGCCCATGCTCTTTGGTGTGAGGGGTGAAAAGCGGCTTGACTGATGGGCTCAAGCACTCCCTGGCCCTCTGAAGAGTTTTGTTCTGAGTTCAACACATCTGGGCTGAGAGACAGAGGGCTGCTCCAGCTCTTCAGCCTGGACTGGAGCAGGAGGCAAGGTTGGGAGGGATGCGTTCCTGCCTCTCGGGGGCTGCTCTGAGTGCACGAGTTGGTTACTTGAAAAAAAAATTATGCAAGATTTCAATGTCACAATCAGTCTGCTATTCAAGAATGGATGAATATTCAAACCTAACAAATACACGGAATAAATAATTCCTGTTCTAAGTGTTACACATCTCTTGGGTCCCAGGAATAAATGGGAAACAAGTACAGCCTTACTGAGTATGGAAAAATATCCATTCCTATGGATGCTTGAAGAAGAAATTATTCTATTTATATACAATGTCTGGCTCTCTGTTTACTTACATATAAAACCTTATCTTTAAAAGAAAAAAATCATAATATTGAAGTAGCACAATAATGTATGTCTAACTTTCTCCTCTGTTCTAAGACTGTTTATTTACTTTTTGTATGTTCATGTGGGTGTGTGCACTTGTGCATGGGGGTATATGTACATGTGCATGCATGGGAATGTAGATGCCAGAAGTGGATGTCAGCTATCTCCCTCAGTCACGTATCACCACATGTTTTTTTGAGGCATGGTCTCTCACTGAACCCAGAGCTTATCAATTTTGACCAGGCTGGTTGGCCAATGACTTCCAGGAGTCCTTCAGTCTCTGTCCCTACCTCCAGCACTGGGGTTACAGAAGAGCACCTCCATATGGTGATACTTTATTTGTACTGAAATGTGATTTTATTTGTATGTTAATAAATAAAGTTGCCTGGGGGTCAGAGCTAATAGCAAGCCATAGCAGAGCCAGGGCATTGGTGGCGCACGCCTTTAATCCCAGCACTGGGGAGGCAGAGCGAGGCGGATCTCTGTGTGTTCAAGGATACAGCCAGCATGGAGACACACGCCTTTAATCTCAATACCAACCATAGAAGACCTGGAGGTCTGTACCAATGGGCAGTGACAAGGAGGTCATGTGGTTGGGTTTACAACCAATGAGAAGGCAGAATAGAAAGTCAATAAAGGCCGGGCGGTGGTGGCGCACGCCTTTAATCCCAGCACTCGGGAGGCAGAGGCAGGCGGATCTCTGTGAGTTCGAGGCCAGCCTGGTCTCCAAAGCAAGTACCAGGAAAGGCGCAAAGCTACACAGAGAAACCCTGTCTCGAAAAACCAAAAAAAAAAAAAAAAAAAAAAAAAAAAAAAAGAAAGTCAATAAAAAGCACAAACACACAGGAAGTAGGTCTCTTTCGGAAAGGTAGGACAACAGCGACAGTGAAGGGTAAGGTTTTTAGCTCTTAGCTATTGCTCTGACCTCTTGGCTTTCATCTCTATATTGGCTCTGTGTTTCTTATTTAATAAGACGGTTACATCTACACCTCCACATTTGGATTTTACCTAGGTGGTGAGGATGGATTTCACGTCATCATGCTTGCATGGAAGACGTTTCATTGGCTGAGTCATGGAGGACCCCAGCCCTCTACTAACACTGATTTCTTTTATTCCATAAGTAGAATACTTACTCCATTTTTGCATGTCCTAACATATCAACTCTCAGAACGTTCTATGTGATCGTGCTGTAATTTGGAAACATTATAACCCACAGTGACAGACTTCTTCAGGGTGTTCTAAGTGAAATAAGACTGCAGAGATGTTCTTTGTGGGCAGTAGGTCAACTTATTGTACCCCCCTTTTTTGATTCTGTTAAGGAACCTCTTGAGCCATATGTATTCTTCCCAGAAGCCCGTGATATCTCACGATGAATCTCAGCTAGGGAGCTGAAAATAATTATTGTCCAGTAGGTAGCTTTCTCACAATGTGGTCAGAGGAATCTTGAGTCTCCTCCCACCCCCTTTTTTTTTTTTTTTAAAGAAAATGAACCTTCATTTAGAGTCAAGGGGACACAGGCCCTCCTTGTCCCCTGAAGGGCTGAGGACCAGAAGAAGCTCAAGAGAGTCAGCTGTTTTCAGAAAGTGCAGTCTAGGTGAAGGCCACCATGACAGGTACAATCCTCTTCTCCCCCCAGATCTAGCCAGATACCTGGCAAAATTGGTGTCAGAACGGGCAGTTGTTCAGACACAGAGATCTCTCTCCCCCCACCCCCCCTCTTGCCCCAATACACTGTTCAGGCATGGTACTCAAGCTGGACCAACGCTCTCATATTTTTGCCAATTAGACTGCAGGGACTGGTGACCTGGAGAGAGGTTCTGGTTGGGTCCTACATGCATTGGCAGAGGAGAAAAGGGCATTGGCTTATGGACTCTTTTAGAGAAAAATGCAGGAGAGCAGGGAGACAGGCCGACACTATCAGGCTGCCTTTAGTGGGAAGCACCCAAAGAGTAAGGCAAGCTAAAGAGTTGCCAGCTCAGTGCCTGAGGCTTAGGAGCCAGGAGAGCTTCTAAATAGCTGTAGGATGGTCTGTACCACCTCCAGGCACAGGCATTCCGTTGGAATTTGCATTCCCTTCCTACTCACAATCTTGGATGTTGATCTGTATTGTTAACGATGAGCCAGGGAGACATAACATTTGGAATAAGCCGGTGCCAGGAACATTTATGTGTGTCCTGTGAGTGAAAAAACTTACTCTTGCGCTGCCAATAAAACTAGGTGACAGCTTTCTTCCAAGAATTTGTTTCTTTGCTTGTTTGGAAACGTGCTTCTGGTTTAGTCTCGTTTAGCAGGCAACAAACAGGACAAAGCCTGATTGTGGCACAGCGTCCCGTCCCGATTCCAAAGACCAAGTGGTAATGGCACCCTTTGTTGTGGAGTGACAAAGTTTTTGTGAAAGGATGAAAAGAGTGAGGCAGGAAGAACCTGTTTTTCTAAATGAGCTTGGTTGTTAAGTCTGAATGAAAGTTCTGTTTTCCAAACCTTCCTGTGAGTCCATGAATGTCATTGAAGAAAAAGCATGAACAGGCTCCATGTGTATATACATGGGGCCATGTGCACACATCTTGCACAGGACAAATGTCCAATACACTTTTTTTTTTTTTTTGGTAATGGTGAATTTGTAAACTATCTATTGTTATATAGCAAATTGTTGTGGCTTAAGAACAGTACTGATTATCTCATAGAGTTTCTGTGGTCTGGGAATTGAGGTGAGCTTTCATTGACTGGTGTTATCTCAGGGATTGTCCTGAGGTCCCACGGGCCAGGACTGCTACCTTCTGAAGGCCCAAATGGAGCAGGAAGATCTACCCATAGAGCATCCCACCCATGCCCAGAAAATTCACTAAGGAAGACCAAGTTATTTTTTTGTCATGATAACACTGTCTGTAAAGAGGGGTGGGTATCCTTAGAAATGGGTGGCTGCTTTCTCCAGAGAGAGTAAAGCAAGAGAGAGGGAGATGACAGCCACAGCGTGTTCTGATAGCATTTGTAGGTTATAATCCATATTTTCTGCCACAGTGTATCTGTTTACAAGATGGTGCTGTGATGGTTAATCTTCACCGTCACTTTGACGGGGTTTGGATTCACCTAAGGAAGTCACCTCTGGGCACATTTGTGAGGTGTTACCAGAGAGATTTAATTGGGAGGAGAAGACCCATTCAGAATGTGGGCTGCACTCTCCCATGAGCTGGGGTCACAGACTAAATAAAAAAGGAGGAATCCAGCTGCTCTCTCTGCTTCCTGATTGTGAACACAGTATGACCAGCTGCCTGATGCTCCTGTTGCCACAGCCAGAGTTGCACTCTCCAACTTTTGTCACAGCTATGAGAAAAGTAACTGCCTCAGCCTGTCTGACTTTGAGATTGCCCTGACCGGGGTGACAAAGGAATAAAGAAAGGACAGACACACAGACACAGGTATAGAAAAGCTGGGATCATGTGGGTCAGGTGCTCTGATGGAGACCACCACCAGCAGCTCCAAACTCAGTACATCTGAATCAAGGAGACGGATTTGCTGTTTATAGCTGAACAAGGGGGCAGATTTAGCTAGTCTCGGTTGGGGGTTCTCTGCATAGGGGAGCAGTCTCAGGATGTAAATATCAGGGAGAGGGAAGCTGTGGGGGATACTGTCTGCACACACTGTCAACATCTGTACACTGGCCAAGGGAAGGGAAGGCTTTGCCATTCCCTTGGGTCTGAGGCATTGGGATCTTTGCTTTGTCAACAACACGCATTCACTCAGGACTTCAGGCTATCCACAAGTCATTAAATATAGTTACATACTGATGGAAAGAAATTGAGCTGTTACAGAGATAAGCATATCAGATAATTTGTGGACATATTTGAAAACAACCAC